TTTCTTATATATAATATGTACACAAAGTAACATGTATAAAATATATTTTTAAATTTTCTTTCTTGGGACCAGCAGTTGGCGTAATGGCTATGTCGCTGGACTCCCATGTAGTTGACCGCAGTTTGAATCCCAGATCCGGTGGCTTAAAACTCACGCCGGGCACGTGTGCGTGCGTGCCCAAGATCCTGAGAGGAGAATGGAGGAGAAGGGATTGCAGCGTGGCCATCCGCTCTGGGGGGGTGATTTCTTGCTTTCTATCTCTCTGTCTCTGTCTGTCTGGCGAGCGCACGTGCCCTATAGCAAAAACCTCTCAAAAATAAAAAAAAATTCCTTCTTATAAAAATTAGAGTTAATGACATAAACTCTTTCCAGCATTATTTGTTTCTCAGCAATATCTTGTGGAAATCAACCCAAGCCATCTGGAGTAATCAAAGTTTATTTTATGTTGGACCATAATTTATTCAACCATTCCTTTACTCTGTCAATGTCAAGAGGTTTGATTTTGCTATAGTTAACCATTTCAAAATCTCAACACTTAGCCTTTCTTGGTCAAACTACATATCCAAAAGAGGAAGTAGGGAAGCCTTTTCATCAGTTCCTCAGCTCCCTAGACTAATGAAGTTCTAGACTGATGATGCAAGCACCCATTGCCACTTGAATGGGAAGGGGAGCTGCTGGGCAGCAGTGACTCAAAACTTCTACTCAGATGTGATACATCACTTCCACTCCCACTGCACTGCCCTAAGCAATTCCATGGAAACTCCTAACTACAAAGGGAACAAAATGTGTTCTTACTATATTTCTAGGAGAGGAATATATTTTTGACTACTACATTATGAATGAGGGTTGGTTCACTTTGTTTCTAATTTCTTTGCAACCATGAATATGTAACATGTGTATTTCCCTCTTTCTTTACACATCAGTAGTACTATTTCTTGGGAATAGATGCCCAGGGATTGCTGGATCAAGGTCATAGGCTTTTTTAGAATTTATTTTTTATTATCATTATTATTTAATTTGACCAGAGAGAGAGAGAAAGAGAGTGATAAAGCAAGCCACCGAGTCTACAAAGTTCTTCTCAGCAGGGCACAGTCATACAACAACCCCCTCTAATCCATTTCCGTTCTGTCAGGATTTGAGGCATGTATATATTCCGGGCGTGTTTTTCAACTTGCTGGGGCCAGGATTTGAACTACAGTCAACCATGTGGAATCTGGCATCCTTAATCACTAGGCTGTCGGGGCTGGCAGAAGAATTTACAATTAAAAAAATCCTACAAGATATGTGCACTCAAGGGGGAGCAGGGTAGGGGAGAGAGAAAGAGAGAGGAGGCACCCTCCGGTGGATGGCCACACTGCAGTGCCTTCTCTATTCTCTCAAGATCTTGGGTGCACACACACACATATAGTCATATGTTTCTTTTAAGATTTTTAAAAAGTTAAATAAAACTGTATGGAATATATTTCTGTGTATGGCAAAAGATAAGGGTGTTACATCCTTTTTTGCTTGTTTTTTGAGAGATTTTTGCTATAGGGTGCATGCATTCACCAGAAAGATAAATTAAAGTGAGAAATCACCCCCAGCGGGGAAGGCCTTGCTGCAATCCCTTCTCCTCCAATCTCCTCAGGATTTTTGGCATGTATGCACATGTGCCCAGCATGAGTTTTAAGCCACTGGGTCCAAGACTTGAACTGCAGTTGGCTATGTGGGAGTCTAGTAACGTAACCATTACGCTATCCCCTGGTCCCAAGGGTGTTACATTCTTAGAACTTTACATTATTCAACATCATCACTTAGGCTGGCACCATTTATTAAAAATCCTGTTTTGCATTAAAGTGAATGTCATTTTTATCATGTATTAAGTTTTTTTTTTTAAGAATTATTTTACTTAACTTTATTCATTTGTTTATTTCAGCCCCTCTTTTTTTCTGATGAGTGTGTAGGCCCTATAGCAAATTAAAAAATAATAATAAATAAAGTTTTTTAAAAATTGGAGACAGGGGCTGGCAGGGGGTATGGTGCTTAAGGGTGCTGGACTCCCACATTGGCTGACCGCGGTTCGAGTCCCAGACATGGTGGCTTGCTTTCTCACTTTCTCTCTCTCTCTCTCACTCTGTTCCTCTCTGATCAAATTAAAAATAAATAAACAATGTTAAAAATAAAATAATGTTTAAAAAAAATTAGGAATATTGGGGCCAGCAGGTTGTGGTGGTTAAAGAAGCTGAATTCTCACATGGCTGACTGTAATTTGAGTCTCAGACCAGTGGCTTGCTTTCTCGCTTTCTCACTTTCTCTTTCTCTCCCTCTCTCTCTCTCTGTCTTCCTCTTCCTCTCTGGTCAAATTAAAATAATAGTAATAATAAATAAAATTAAATAAATAATTATTTTTAAATTAGGAACAGAGGGGTCAGCACGTGGCATGGTGGTTAAGTTGCTGTGTTCCCACATGGCTGACCACAGTTCAAGTCCTGAACCTGGAGGCTTGAATATCACACCAGGCACGTGTGCATGCATGCTCCAAATCTGAGGAGGATAGTGAAGGAGAAAGGATAGTATCATGGCCATCCTCCCTGGGGAGTGATTTCTCACGTTCCCTCTCACTGTCTCTGGCAAGCACAGGCACCCTATGGCAAAAATCTTAAAAAACTATTAGAACAAAATAATGAAATACATTAAGAAAACAAAATAACATGAGGGTAAAATAGTGAAGTGAGCCAGAAATAAAATTTAAAATTAATGAAGCAGAACTTAGCCCTCCATCCTACCATACATTCTCACAAAAAAAAAAAAAAAAAAAAAAAAAAAAAAACAGAGGGACTGGCAGATGGTGTGGTGGTTAAAGGTGCTGTACTCCCTTACGGCTGACCACAGTTTGAGTGCCAGGCCTGTCAGTTTGCTTTCTCTATCTACCTTTCTCCCTTTCCCTTTCTCTCTCTCCATCTCTCTCTGGTCAAATTAAAATAATAATAACAAATGGAATTAAATAAATCTAAAAAAAATTACTATTTTTTTGAAAAGGTAAATTCTTGAGTCTGATGAAAGAAAATTTGAAAATGGAAAGGGGAAATGGAGACTTGTCATAAGCACAGAAATACTTAACAAGAGACTTTAACATGTAATGCTCTGACCACAATTTGGAAATCTTGATGAAAATAGGTGAATTCTTAGCAAGTTAGAAAATGTCAGAACTGATTCAAAGTGACAACTTCTTGATTAGATTATGTAGCATTTAGAAGACACTGGTAAAGTTAAAATTACTGAAAATGCGCGAGGACCAGATTGGTTCTCAGATTTGAACTTTTAAATTTGAGGCAATTTAACTATTCCAGGGCATAAAAATGTACCAACTTATTTATGAAGCTGGTGTATTTTTTTCCCCCTTTTTTTGGCATTCAGCATGTGCACTTGCCAGAGAACGATAGAGAGGGACAAAAGGGGAAAAAAAGTAAGAAACCATTCCCTGGGGGGATGGACATGCTGCAATCCATTCTCCTCTATCCTCCTCATACAATTTTGGCTACACATGCACCCAACATTTTTGATTAGGTGATTATATAAGTAAAACTTAGGTCAGTAGAACAAATAAGAAAATTGGTATAGGGCCTGCATAAATACACAAAATGTAGTTCAGATAATGAGAATATGGAAAAGAAATTGGGAGAAAAATTTACAATAATGACAGAATAAATTTTACAAGAAAGACCTATGACCTTGGGCCAGCCAGTGATACAATAGTTGGGGGAGTTTAATCCCACATGACCAACTATGTGGTTTGAGTCTTAGATCCAGTGGCTTGAGAAACATGCTGGCCCATTTGTATACCTGCCCCAAACCCTGAAAGGAGGGAAAATGGAGAAGGGGTTGAGGCATGACTATTCCCCATGGGAGGATGTTTTCTCATTCCCTCAGCCCCCAACAACTGTCTCTCCCTGGCAAACACCTATGCCTTCTAGAATATTAAAAGAGAGAGAGAAAGACATACAACTTGAATGAGAAAACTATACAATTTCATTGATAGAGAACAAGATTACAAGAATGGAATGATATAGTTGATCACATTCTATGCTATGGTTTGGATGTTCCCCAGAAATTCATGTGTTGGCACTGGATTGTATTATATGTAGATGTCAAGTGAGAACTTAATCCCTTCCTGGTGGGGATTTTGGGTATAATAATGTCTTTAATGTGGGGTTCTTATGATTGAGTTCTAGTGGGTATACAAGCAGAGGAAATGAGCCCAGAGAGAGAGAGAAAGCCATTTGGATTCAAATCATGCTCTGCTCTGCCAAAAGTTCTGTCTTCTGCCATTTTGTGATGCCTTTGGACTTTCCAGTCACCAGAATCATGAGTTTTGTGGAAATAAACCTTCTATTTTCATTATAAATTACCCAGGCTCAAGTATTTCTGTTAGCAACATAATAACGAACTAAGACACATGGTAATGTATAATACTATAAAAAACATTGATTCCTCCTTAATATTACATTACTATATTGCAGTTTGTATAATACCAGTAGTATTATTTGGCAATGTTTTAGATTTTTTAAAGATCTCAAATATTAGGTAGATAGACATCAGAGAGGAGAGAGGAAAAGAGAGATTGGCATGTACAAAACAAACCAGCATGGGGTCAGCTAGTGGCATCGTAGTTGAAGTAGCTGGATCCCATATGTCCTATGGTATGGTTTAAGTCCTGGACCAGGCAGCTTGGAAAACGTGCAGAGCACATGTGTGTGCATGTTCAAAATTCTAAGAGGAGAATGGAGGAGAGGGGTTCCAGTGTGGCCATCCCCCCCCCAGGGGGGGTGTGATTTCTCACTTTCTTTCTCTCGCTCACTCTATCTCCACACCCCAACCCTGCCCCCCACACACACTCACACACACTCACACACACAAACACAAGCACACACACTCTATAGAAAACTAAAACAAAACCAAGATGGAATCTGGAAAGACAGCACAATAATTAATGATTAGTTTTTTAAAAAGTAGGGGGTTGGGTGCTCCCTTCAGCAGCACATATACTAAAATGGGAAAGATATAGCGATTAGCATGGCCCCTATGTGAGGATGACACACAAATTTATGAAGTGCCCTATATTTTTAATTTCTTCATAAAAATAGGTTTAGTTTTTGTGAAACTGTATATCTAATAGTACAACATCATAGTGTGTGGAAAACTGAACTTGACAACATATTAATGAATAAATGAACAAATAATTAAAAAGAAGAAGAGGGACCAGCAGTTAGTGCAATGACTATGTTGCTGGACTCCCACGTAGTTGACCGCGGTTTGAGTTCCAGACCCGGTGGCTTAAAACTTACGCCGGGCGCCTGTGGGGGCGTGCCCAAGATCCCGAGAGGAGAATGGAGGAGAAGGGATTGCGGCCTGGAAATCTGCCCCCCGGAGGGTGATTTCTCGCTTTCTGTCTCTCTGTCTGTTTGGCGAGCGCATGCGCCCTATAGCCAAAAAAAAAAAAGAAAAAAGAAACAGGCTTTGGCAGAGGAAGACAGAAGAGACCACATGCCAAAGAGCAAGAACACGTAAAGCGTGATAAACCAGAAATCCAATTTTCAACATTGCCATCTCTCCTTGATGTCCACTTCTGTAGACTGTGGAGTTTAGAGTAAATTGCTGCTTGTTATCAACAGTATTTAAAATGCTAGTTAGGCTATTGGAACAGTCCTTTAGTTGTTTTTAAGCCTGAAGTCTTTAGAGACTTGGCTATAAACAGAATAACCCTAAGATTCCTGGGGAGAAGTTATTCTCTAGAGAGCACTGGTCATAGTTTCCTCAAGTTGTCAAGTAACCTAGAGCAAGATGAGATTCTTGAACTAGAGGTTGCATCCTTTCTGGAGTAGACAATGCCTATAGACCTTTATTTTATTTTACTTTTTCCTTTGTCAGGCTTTTTTGTCAGACACAACTGAAAAATACATTTTAGATTCTGACACTATGGAAAATAGAGTGCTCTATACAATTGCCTCTCTCCTTCCCTTCCTCCCTCTGAGTCAAGACTGAAAAGTTTCAGGAAATAATTCTTACCCTTTCTAAAGGGATATATTTTGATAATTTTTGTTTCATTCCTCTTTTTTTTTCTTTCTTTTATTTGTAAGAATTATTTTATTTAACTTCATTTATTTTAATTTGAACAGAAAGGGTCAGAATGAGAAAGAGAGAGAAAGTGAGAAAGCAAGCCACCAGTCTAGGACTCAAAATGTGGTCAGCCATGTGGGAGTCCAACACCCTTAACCATCGTACCACTTGCCAGCCCCTCATTTCTCTTTTAATGCTCCTTGAAATATACTCAACTGATATTACCATCCACAATTTGAATAACAACACTAAGGATTTAACCTTACCTGCTTGAAAAAGTTTAAAGACACAAGAGGAAATTTGTTTTCTTAGAATAATTTTTATTTAAATTTATTTGGTTATTTAAATTTGACCAGAGACACAGAGTGAGAGAGAGAAAGAAGGAAAGTGAAAAAGCAAGCTGCCAGGTCTGGGACTCCAACCACTGTCATCCATGTGGGAATCCAGTGCCCTTAACCACCACGCCACCTACCAGCCCCAAGAGCAAATTTTTTTCTAGTGACAACTAAATTTTATATACTCCTGTTGCATAAATGATGACAGTTATTTTTTTTTAATTCTCATTTTTTGAAATAAAAAATGTACGCCACTTGGGCCAGAAGGTGACATAGTGGTTAAGGCATGGACTTCCATGTGGCCTACTGCAGTTGAGTCCTGGACCCAAAGGCTTGAAACTCAGCCAGGCATGTGTGCCTAAAATCCCAAGAGGAGAAGGGATTGTGGCATGGCCATTCCCTCTGGGAGGGTGATTTCTGTCTTTCTCTGTTTCCCCTGAGAGCACACGTGCCCTTTGGCAAAAATCCCTCTAAAAAGAAAAGTCTTTCCTAAAAGAAATCATGCCATTTATTTCAATATGACTCTTCTAAGAGAAAAACTTAGAAAACTAAAAAATACTGAAAATGTCTCAACTCTTCAGAGTATTTTTTTTTTTTTAATATAAAATAAGCTTTTGGGCTGGCCTGCAGCACAGCAGTTAAATGCTGTGCTTAGAAAGCTGGATCTTGCATGGCAGGCTGAAGTTCAAATCCTGGCCCCAGCTGCAGCAGCTTTAGAAGCCAGGTACATGAGCATGTAAACCCAAAATCCGGACAGGATGAAGAAATGGAGAAAAAAAGACCGCATCCTGTTGGTGTGTTCTCTCTGTCTTTCACCCTCTGTCAATTAAAATAATAAAGGCATGAATAAATAAATAAATAATATTTTTATTTAAAAATATAACATTGTGACACGATAAAGCATTAAATGTACACCTGGTCACTGTCCCCAGTTCCTGGCATAGAGCTTACAAAACCCTTGTAAGTGATGGAAATGGAACATCTTTTGTTATACAAAAGTTGTGTGAGCCGTTCTAGCAAATTACTAAATTCTATATTGGGGTCATGGGAATTCTCCAATTTATAGCTAACTGATTGAAGTATAGGTGACAACCAGGGACTTGTGACTGGCACCTGAAGTGGGAGTCAATCTTGTGAGACAAAGCCCTTAACCAGTGAGGTCTGACATGGTAGTTTCAGATAGATAGTGTCAGAATTGAATTGAATTGTAGGGTATCCAGTTAGTGTTGGATGAGTTGAAGAACTGCGTAATGTGAAGGAAAAACCCACATGTTTGGTGTCCCAAGCATTCTGTGAATATATAGGAAAATGGCTAGTTTTCCTTTTACATTTTCACATGTACGGAAAACGTACATGGATCACGAATAAATGAATGAACAGCTCAATGAGTTATGATTAGCTGACTCCACCTGTATTGCCCATTGCCCAGGTAAAACGTAGAACATTACCAGCATCTCAGAAACCTCCTACATGTCTCTTTTCAATCTGCCAACCCTTTTATTTCTTTTTTACAATTACTCTATTTAATTTTATTTATTCATTCATTTATTGTAATTTGACCAGACACACACACCCACACACACACACACACACACAGAATAAGAAAGGAAACCACAGGTCTGGGACTCAAACCATGGTTGGCCATGTGGGAATGTTCAGTGCTTTAACCACCACACCACCTGTCGGCCCCATCTGCCAACCCTTTTCTTTCTTTCTTTTTTTTTTAAGAATTACTTATTTATTATAATTATTTTTCAGGTTTTCTTTACCAGAGAGAGAGTGTGTGTGAGCAAGTCTCCAGGTCTGGGACTTGAACTGCAGTCGACCATGTGGGAGTCCAGCACCTTCAACCATCATGCCACCTGCCTGTCCTGCCAACCCTTTTCAACTGGGCATTTTGAATAACGAATAGGGGCGATAGATTAAATTATTTAGATTATTAGGTTATACTATACTTGCTCCTCAATCATCCATAATAAGACTATTCATCTAGCCCCTTTGAAGCTGGGATTGATCATCTGACCTTTGATCAATAGAATGTAGCACCGGGTCCCTACTTCTGGCTCCAGAGTTCTGCACGCATGTCTGCACAAGGTGAGGACAACATGGAGGCCTTGGCTTCCACTGCAGTGTCCAATTCAGGTGTGCCCGCGGCCTCGTCCGCGACTCCTGCCGTCCCCACCTCCCTGGACCAGTTGGATGAAGGGAAGATAAGAAAGGCAGTGGAGGACCAGCAGGTGACGTGGTGGTTAAGGTGCTAGACACTCCCACATGGTCGATCACGGTTCAAATCCTGGACCTGGTGACTTGCTTTCCAACTTCCTTTCTCTCTCCCTCTGGTCAAATTAAAATAAATGAATGAATAAATAAAATTAAATAATTCTTAAAAAAAAAAAGAAAGAAAGAAAGGCAGTGGAAACTCTGTTGGCACATGCCAGAACCAGGAAAATCAGTAATGGATTGTTTTTGAATGAGAATGAAAATTTATTTTTAGTGGTTATTGTGGAAAATTCCTAGTAAAGAACTGAAGGTCCAATTGCCCTTGCCTAATGGTATTCGAACAGATTTAGCAGAAAATTGTTTATTTACCAAGGATAAACCCAATTCAACTCCTGAAAAGACAGAACGTTTCTACAGAAAGCTTGTGAATAAGCATGGAGTTAAAAATCATCTCTCAGATTATTCCTTTCCAGGCTTTCAAAAAGGAGTATAAAGCCTATGAAGCCAGGCTTCGCCTCCTGAGTAGTTTTGACTTCTTCCTTACAGATAGATGATAGGATCAGGAAGCTCTTACCATTGCACCTTGGGAGGCATTTCTATCAAGGGAAGAAAGTTCCAGTAAGTGTGAACCTTCTGGCCCAGAATTTATCACAAGAGATTGATAGTTCGATAGGTGGAGCCGTCGTAAACATCTCGAAAAGTGGTTCTCACAGCACTATACGCATGGGTCACACTGGGATGCAGGCCCAGTACATTGTTGAAAATGTCGTTGCTGTCACGGAAAGGCTTTCAGAAAAATTGCCAGAAGAATGGGAGAGTGAGAAACTGTTGTTTGTGAAAACTGAGAAATCAGCTCCCTTTCCCATCTTCTCATTTCTCAGCAGTCAGGATGAAGCCAAGAGAATATGAACTCCTACTCAGAAGGAAAAGAAAAAATTGGGAAAGGAGAAATGCAAAGGAGAAGAATATGAAAAACAGAAGAAAAGAAAGAAAAATAAAAAGATAATGCAAGAGGGTAGCAAGGCTGCATCAGTCGGAGCTAAAGACGATGTAGCACCGAAAATTGCCGGTGCTCCAGTGAGTAATTCTGGACCCCAGAAAGGAGCAGATGCAAAACAGCAGAAGACCGGCCAAGGGAAAGCCCAATTGAAACTGAAAGACGACCCTGAAGATGAAATTCCACAGCTAGTACCAATAGAAGAAACTCCAACTAAAGGAAATGTAGAGATGCAAACACATGGCACAGAAAAGACATCACCAAAAAAGAGGTCTGGTCCCAGCACATCTTGTGGAAAGAAAAAGATTTGACCAGCTTCAGAGACCCCAAAAACGGCAGAGCCTGAGACTCCAAATAAAGGCCTGGGGAAGAAGCCAAACATTGAAGAGACAGAAAAAGAAAGAACCCCTTCCCTGGGGAAAAAAGACCCAAGACAGACTCCAAAAAAGCCAGGGG